GCTGACGCTAGACGACATGCCGCCGGTATTGTGCAAGGCTAGGATGTTCACAAAAGTTGAAATCGACTCAGCATTTTGGCACGCATCTCTAAACGAGGAGTCAAGCTACCTGACAAGGTTTGGAACACCGTTCGGGCGTTTCCGTTCGCTGCGTTTATCATTTTGGCAGAAAGTGTACAGTGAGATATTCCAGAACCGGCTAACGTAAACTTTGGATGATTTACAGGGAGCATTCTGTGTAGCAGACGATGTGTTAATGTTCGGCACTACGCGAGAGGAACACGATCGGGAGCTTTATCGCTTTTTACAACGGTGCGCTGCAAGGAACATCAAACTGAAACGAGAGAAACTCGAACTGCGTCGCACGGAAGTGGTATCAAACGTGGGCACGTGCTAAGTGCTGAAATGGATCCCGAGAAAATCAGCTATAAACGAGATGCCTCCCCCAAAGACGTTAAAGCTGTTAGTCGGCTAAATGGGATGATCAACTATTTGAGTCGATTCCTGTCCAGATTAGCGGATGTGATAATACCGATCCGGAAGTTGACTCACAAGGGAGAAAACCGGCACTCCCACTCGACATCCAATGCGACAGCAGTCAGTACGGCATCGGGGCCGTACTCATGTAAAACGGCAAGCCCATCAACTTTCGCAGTAGAAAGTTGACAGAGGTCGACCGTCGTTATGCTCAAATAGAAAAGGAAATGCTCGCGTTGGTTTACGCCGTAGAGCGTTTCAATGACTATACCTTCGGCCACAAGACTAGCGCCTTTACCGATCACAAACCGTTGGTTTCCATCCCCAGCAAACCACTCCATGTTGTTCCCCGCCGCTTGCAGAGGATGCTCATACGTCTTCAAAAGTATGACCTAGAGATTGTCTATCGACCTGGCCCCGAAATGCATATCGCAGACACGCTATCGAGGGCATATCTATCAGACACGCACAAAGAAGTGAAAGATTCAGATTCCATTCACGTAACACAACTAATAGCTGTCACTGGGGATCGACTGAAGCAGCTCCAACAGTGCACGGAGGAAGACGACTTTGCAAGCTACTAAAACAGACGATATTGAACAGCTGGCCCGAGGATAAGAAATTGATGTCCAGAGAGCATATACTCCGTTTTTCCATTTTCGTGACGAACTCATCGGCCAGGACGGATTGATATTCAAGGGCAACAGGATATCAATCCCCAAGGCGTTGCAACGTGCGATGATGGAGCTCGTCCACTATGCTCATTCGGGAACTAACAATTGCGTGGCCAGAGCGCGTCCTGACCAGGGATGAGCATTCAAATAGGCGATTACGTTTCGAATTGAGTGGCGTGACGCACACACGACGTGCGTCACTCAAAAGAGCCTATGATGCTCCGCGATGTTCCGGACAGGCGCTGGTAGGTGGTTGCGGTAGACATTTTCGCGCACGATGGGAAAAGTTATTTAGTGCTGGTCGATTATTTCAGTGACTACTTCGAAACCGATGTTCTTGCTACTATCAATACACGAGCGGTTGTGAATAAGTTACCGTGCCAGTTCGCTCGTCATGGAATACCGGAAGTGGTGGTTTCGGACAACTGCTCGCAGTTCACTAGCGCAGAGTCCCGTGCCTTCAGCAAAAAGTGGGGTTTCCATCACCGGCTCACCAACACATACCATAGCCAGTTAAACGGTAAGGCCGAGTCGGCGGTGATAGAAGCAAAGAAAGTGCTTACCAAAGCAAGAGAACGACGAGGACACTATATTATGCTGCTGGAGCGCAGAAACACACCATCCACGGGAATTGGGGGAAGTGCGGTGCAGCAACTGTTCAGCCGCAGGACACGAACGCTGACACCAACCGCGGCGCCGGCCGATTCGCTATACGAGCGACTAAGGAACAGGATGCTAAGACAAAAGAAGTACTACGATCGCGGGTCGAGAAGCCTACAACCAGTAGCAGTTGGAAAAGAAGTATGGGTACAACCACCACCAGAAAAAGAAGAGTCGAGGAAGGAAATGATTGAGAGCCGCAAGGGAGAGAGGAGTTAGGAAGTCAAGGTAGGGTTAGGATTATTCGGCGGAACCGAATACAACTCCGGAGAGCACGTAACGGGTGGTTTTCCCAAAACGAGGATCGGAATCAGAAACCGGAAAGGATACCTATCACCACGATACAAGGAAGGAAACTCACACGCAGCGGGAAACAGTATGGGACCTAGTGTAACACAATCCTAACAAAACAAAAAGTGGCTGAAAGCTGGGACGAAGGGAATCGCCCTCCTCAGTGCGGTCGATCGATCGTGTAAGCGGGTGAATTTTTAAAACCACAGGCAGTTGTACAGAACCTCAAAATTGTAAATAAAACGCTTGTGTGCTGAACCGCTGTTTTGTTTCTCTTGACGCGGCTAGCAGACCCAGGCTCACAACAGGTATGATCATCATTTATCCACATTACACTGGGCCATGTCGCAGGCTGGTCACATTTAGACCTAGTATAGCTGCGATTGCATGTTATACTAGTAGACTTATAGATCTTGAGATCAATAGGGAACAGGTAAATATTTTGCGGGATTATTTATGGAAAAAAGTACCAGTGAAGACCTAAGACCGATCCTTATTGCGTGCCACAATGAAAATCTATATGGCCGAAAAGTGTTGAGAGCCCTAATGTTCAGTTGCTGCTGAAAGTTACCCATGCAACTCAGTGGTTGCTCTGGCTGCTTATTCCTTTGCTATGTGGTTCACCAATAATAATTAAACAAATGACCAGATAGGAGGAGTGTTGCGACCGCTATGGGAAACAAGGATGCTCGAGGAAACTACGTCGTGGTTGGAATAGTCCAGGTAGACAAGCTTACAGTGTTTACCAACCTGGGAATGCTCGCTAGTTGCCCAACTGTGCGCAGACAAGAATGGTAGGAAGAATACAGGAGGTATCCAGCACAATTTGAACATTATGCTGACCAGTACCCACCAAAAGAGAGATAACAATGTTGGCACAGTAAATACCGTACAACGGTTAAAAAGCGTGACTTGGTTTGAAATGTACAATTAACTTCAGGCCAAGTCTATCTGAGCGAGTGTCCTCATGCTCCAGCATACGGGAGACTTCCAAAGGTAAGAGCAGGTGGATATTATTTCCCGCACAATCAATACACCAGAAATATTAGGGTAAGTTTAGAACTGGACCGTACTCACAGGGTAGCCCAACAACCCTTATGTTCATACAATGTGGAAGCTAAGAGAATAATGAATAGTGAAAGGAAGTAGCAAGCAGAGATATCTCTGTGTAGCTGCATTCAAAATCCCTCAGATCCAACGAGCCATTATGTTGGCGATCATTCCCGATATGTTATGTTGGCAAAATGTTTATCCAGGAAGTAGGTGGTCTGAGTGTTCGCTGAGCTCGGCAGTTTGAATGGAAAGGTTTCGTCACCACTCGAGGTGACATCGCCAGTGTGCGTTTAGGTAGCAGACCGGCACGGTACGAAGCGTCAGTGAGTGTGAGTGATCGACCTTTTAGCCGTCAGTCTCATTGTGAATCGTTCGACGAGCACATGACCATCGAAATTGATCTCTGATTCTTGCCTCGTAGCGTACGAGCGCGTGCCTCTTGGGTTGTCGTTTGACGCATTTGTACGGCGTTCTGTTCCTTTAGATTTAGTAGACTAATTCGGTGATCGTTCATCCGTAACGCTGCATATATAGCACCTATTTCAACGCGTCGGTTTATTGAATTAACTGTAGAAAACCATGCTCCCAAGAACTCTCTAGCTTGTCTCGAATTTCCACGGGCTAGGATCTTTACGTTCTCTAGGTCGAAGTGGTGGCCTTCTTGGTCTTCATGCATGGAAACCAAGGAATGCGGGTCGTGTCTCCGTATGGCCATTATGTGTTCGTTGATCCGTGGTGAAAGTTTCCTTCCACTTTGCCCGATGTAGTATTTGTCACACACGTTACAGTTAAGTTTGCAGATGAGATCATCCTGACTGCCAACTTTGACTTGTCCTTCGGTCTTGAAAGCAATCTTCGCAAAGTACCAATTGATTTGTGGGCTACCAAAATTCCATGTGGCCGCAGCAATCTCGACGTTAGTTCAGACACGTTCTTGATGTAAGGAAGCGCTATCCGTTTATCTACGAACGATCCAAAATCAGACTGACGGCTAGAAGATCGATCACTCACACTCACTCGGCTAGATAAACGCGCAGTGAGGATGTCACCTCGGGTGGTGACGAAACGTTTGCAGCGAAACTGCAGAGCTCGGCGAACATTCAGACCACCAACTGAACAACCTGAGCTACCAACATTTGCTCCTTTATCCAGAAAGTGTCTGAATTCAGACACCAACTTTGCTTCAACCACGTGCGGCGGCAAGCTGTTAATAGATTCCCTACTCTATGAGAAAAATGATGAGGGCACTTAGACTGAAGCAAGAAGGATGATTCCATTTGGCAGATGTCCAATATGCACAAATACGGTGTTTGAGAAGTGGACTCGGGAACAGTGGGACCCGGAAGTAGAGAATAGTTTTTCAGTAAAAAAACAGCCTGATGTTGTACAACCAGGTCAGAAGTAACAGTGGTGAGATGACAGAGTAAGAGGAGCCACCGATGCAATTGCACATTTCTCCATGTTAACACTATGATGGGCAGTTACAACGGTGTTAGAGCCCTTTCGCAGAGCTATCTCTGTTACTCGGGCTGGAGAAAAGAGACGCATACAGATATTTGAAGTACGCTTGCATTAGAACCACTAGAAGTGGACTGGAGTAACGGCAATGATCCGCATTGAATTGGAAAGTTCCGAGCAAGCTGCGCGCTACTGTACACCGAGCTCAATTCTGATGAGTGTAGGGCTGTCGCCGTGAAGGACACAGGAGGAATGCAGTTATGAATCACAAAAAGAGTGTATGAAAGCAAATCACAGTGTGGGCTTATGCAAACACAGAATCATAGGAGGCACATTTTGGGCTACTCGCACAGATAGTTTAGAATGTGACGCCGGGTATAGCCTCTTTCAATTGACAGACTTCGCACGATTTAAGTAGGATTCCCAAGCTTCCAGGATCTGTAAGAAAGAAGACAACGTTAAGTAAGCAATCGTTCTACAAGAACTAATGCGACATGTTAGTGAAATAAATAGTTCACTTATAGGTGTAAGTTAGTTCCAAGGAAGTTCTAAGCCAAAATGAGGGGAAAGAAGCGCTGTAAATAGCAATGATCACCAGATGGATTGTGAAAGCACATTTGATGAAAAGAATAGCGCTTGTTAGATGATACTGCTGAACAACAGACGCGTTATTACGAGTGTACGAAAAATGCAAATAACATACTCTCTTAAAGCATGGGAAAAAGGATCCGATCGGTGAAATTTATATAGGAATGGTACGACAGAGGGATGCCCCACAAAAGAACAGAAGGCACAAAATGCATTTCCAAACAGATCACTGTGTCGTTTGTGAAGAACAAATTGTGAAATACGAAGAATGTAACACGCTAAACACGATCAAAATGTGACGTGATTAGTACTTTCCAATTCAAGAAAACAGAAAATGAAATGAGATCGCCGGAGAACGGATCGAACAGTGGACAAGCACTGACGCCAATGAGAGAAGCGAGCGAGTGCGGATGCATCATTCAATCCATTAAAATACTTCTGAAGAAGCAAAGGAGATTGTAAGCGTAAAACAGGTAGGTGATGATGGGGCTCAAACCCCCAAAATGAGACACCACAGAGCATCCTTGACCACACTGACTGAAATAACTATAAATGGTTGTATGTGAAATGGCAGTTATCCATGCTTCCTCAATCTAGAACGAACGATCTGGGTCCTTAAGCAAATGATTTGACTCAAAAGACTAGCTGTGAAAAAAGGACTACGTAATGGTGCATAAGAGAAAGAGTATTTGCAGAAATGGAGGTCATTGATTCAACATTCAGTAAACGACTGGGGCTGTATGACACATGATATGACAGGTTTTGATTTAACGGCAATCAAAAACACCAACTGATATAGTTTAATGGGCAAAAGGAAAATGTAAACTGTTGCATCACACGGAAGTTCAGTCTCAGAGAAAGTACAGTCATTTTCCTTGTGTGGCCTAAGATAGGCAAGTCAACAAAGCAAACAGTGGGATTAGAGATCAATAGAGGTAAGTAAAGTACACCCCTTAGATGGGCAAAGCTGCTGATTCAGTCAGTGGTATAAGACATATCAAGAAGGATATATCTCGAGTTGTCGGGATGTATACAATATCACATTCCACCACCGAGATGGGAAACGGTGTGACCTGAAGGGACTCGACTTGAGGATAAGAGAGAGCTAAACGTGACATTTACGGATGACCTGGATAAGATAAAGTGCATGGCATTTTTCTCACCGTCTCTGTGTACTTGAGAAATACTGATATTCGCGCTCAAGAAGTTGAGTTGATTCCAGATAACTGGATTCGATGAGAAAATAAGTTGAGAATATATGCGCCGGAACGCTTGTAATAGGGTAGTACAAAAATTATGATCGAATCTACATCCACTAGGAGGAATCGCACAGGAAAATAGGGGGAAGCGGAGGCGATCTAGGCCTTTGATCTTGGTGTTAGTTTACCCCTAAAGACCACTTAAGACGACATTATAAAAGAAGGGACAGTTGGGTCCAGAGGAAGTCGCGCTAGTGCTCGTCAACAAAAGATCCCGCAAAAAACACGGACTAACAATGCCATCTCATCCATCCGATAATGGCCTTAGGGGTTAAATAGAATACAGATATGTACCGACACCATACTTCTAGAACTGGCTCATTGAAGGTGCGGAAGTACTGTAAGTAGACATAACACATCGTACCACTAGGACACTGGAACTGATAACCGCGGTGAGCGGTTATGTTCAGCCTGGGTTAGCAACTATGATGGAATCCCAAAGGCGTGCGGAACCAACACTATCATCTTCATCAGCAATACATCAGCCGTCTGGAGTGATGCTTCAATGCCGCAGAATCACGGTGACCTACGGAAAGTAGAAGAACAAGAGGAAGGTGGATCGGACGTAAATCCCTAGTGACCAAAGCCAATATTCAGAGTTAAGGTGCTTAAACCTTGTCAAAAACAAATCATCAGACACATCTGGCTATGGTGCAAAGGCTGTAACAGCAAGCTGACTTCACTGCAGCTTTCATTGTCCCGCGTCACAACCAACCATTACGCCGCAGATCACGCAGAACCAGACAAATTTTAAATATGCAGTCCGACGGCAGCAGACGCGCCATTGGTGTCGATTGCGAGCCATGTCCTGTAAAGTAAAGGCGAGTCACGTGGACTGCTGCCTGGAAGGTGAGACGAACCGACGGCACCCAGTTTGGTCATCAGTGACTTCATTTCCCGCTGCCAAGTCAACTTCTGTTCACGAGCCTTGCGCCACCCAACATTTGACAAACGAACCAAGGCGGTCTTAGGTAAGCGGTGACCGAGTATACGTAGTACGTACCCAAGCCAACGCAACTTATTCAGTGCGATCTAATGTTCTAAGGAACCACACTGGTTATCACTGCCTAGCACTCGACTACGCACATTATCGTTGCAAACACGCTGGTGCCACCCGACAGCAGCAATGCTAAGCAGACAGCGATGAGCAGGCTTGAAGGCGCCTCAGATCCTCAGATCGAAAGGGCCAAATTTCCCTACGAAACAGTAGGACGACCCTCACCATGGCCTTGTAAACACGGCATATCAGACCGAGGAAAACCAACTTCTGACGCAAGAGATGTCAAAGATACAAGAAGACTGATCTGCATTATGCAATATGTGAACTGGTACCAGTAGTTACGCGCCCAGCGTTGCTGATGCAGCTGCCAAGATAAGTAAGTTGGTCAACTACCATAAGTTTCGCCTTATCAATGGTCAAAGGGGTCAAAAAAGTCAGCAGCAGTACGCCGGCACACTGTACAGACGCTACGGTGCCACGCGATCACTACCAGTCGCGCGTGGGCTGAGGATAGCGCAAGGACGCCGCCCCTACGCGGATCTGAACCGGTGACCAAAGGATTGCAAGCCAGGCGTACAATCCATATGGCCATCGGCCGGCAAAGGGGACATTAAGTGGTTGGTGGTCAGGAAACAACACCATGCAATGTGAAAGTGCGAAGCGCATGCCAAATAATGGGACCACTCTAGAGAGGTTACTCACGGTTTACTGAGCCGTGCCAACATAGTTACACAGCAAGATAGTATCGTCTGCATATTCTAGATCAACTAGCGCTAAACGCCTGCATCGTGGGATTCCGCAAGGGAACACTCAATGATGGAGTCCACGATGAAAGTGAACATAAATGGGGAAATCGGACAACCCTGATGAACGCCAATTGTTGTCGGAAAGCTAACCGACAAATCACCGTAGACCTTGACGCGGTATTTAGTGTTCGAGCACGTAAAATATTTAAATGTTTCGTGGGAACACCTTTTTGCGCAAATATTCGGGACAGAATGCGTTGATCGACTGAGTCGAGGAACACAACTATTTTCGGCCTGCGGTGTGTGTGGCACTGCTGTAGGACCTGCAGCAAAGTGAATATGGGGTCTATACAGCACCATCCTGGGCGAAAACGTGCCTGCTCTTCCCTAATCCGGGATCTGCGTTCCGCAGTGAGACGATGAACATGAACCGAGGCCAGGAATTTGGTCACAATTAGCGTTAGACTAATACTCTTTCGTTACCATAGTTGGTGTGACTGCACTTCTTGTATATTGCCACTATAATAGATTCAATCCAGTTGGCCGGGATGGTCTCACCCCTCCGTATGTATTCTAAGAGGGAGACCAGTGCTTTGTAGCTAAACTCACTACCATCCCTAAATAGTGCAGGTGAGAGGGAATCCGGGCCAGCAGTAAGAAAACGATCGAGGGCTGTGATCGCAATCGCTCTGTCGTCTGCGACCGTACGTAGAATAAGGACGGCCATTTCCGTGAGACTCATTTTCGCCTACCGTGCAAGCTGCGATTACCATCAGGTTTTGTGTGAAACCCGGTAAGCGTAGTGGAAACTTTCCCATGATAAAGACGGTCTATGGTGATGATTGATTATCGGAACGTCAAGTTTATCGATCGCATAAGTCCTTTTTTAAGGATGCGAAGAGGTCAGCGAAGAAGGTAGTGCTGGAAGGGCATCGACGACAATCACCGACGAAAATGTGACGCGTATGACGGAACTGGTAAACTCAAATGGTCGTTTGAGTGTTCCTTTAACCCTTTCAATCCCGAGTTAATTTAGCTACAACATTTTCATTATTTTTCATGTCTTAAGGTAGGTTTTGGCTAGTAACAAATATAAGAAATTAAATTTTTGTAAACATTTTCAAGTTTATTTTATTGGTGGTACTTGTAAGTACCGACACGGACGTACGTCATCAACATTGTCACCATGAAGGCACATTACTGAAAATGATATTTTTGTAATCAGTTCTTTTGTCGTTGCAGCCTAAAGAACTTCATAAAAAGAACATCCTAAATGTGGCCTAGATTGGATTTTTGGATGGAGCACATTAGATATCTTCCACTTTCGGCAACAAATGTAGGCCAGTGAGCGCCAAGGTTCTGTGTTCCGATGTCTTTTGGCACATAATACTTGTTTTTCCTTCGTAGCTGGTTTGTTTTGTGATGATAATGTATGGAATGAAGAACGACCTCTTTTTCATTGGTCTGCTTCCCATAGCGGCAAGCCCCATTGCCAAGTTTCTTCGAAACTCCAGAAGTGAGATGTCATGATGCTTGTCAGTATACATCACATATGCAATGACATGTCATTCTCATCACTGCAAAAAACATTCTGTGCCACCATATCATATCATATTTGTCCACTCCACCCATGGCTGAATTGTATTTCTGTACTACCTTAGGTGCCACTATGTCGGCCAGTGTTCCAATCCGCTCTATATGACTCACAGTAATTGATTCACTTCCATGGTCATTGGACAACAGATGAACACACTTGTTATCTTTACACTTGAAGAACACATTTTCTTGAACTGTAGAACGATAATCAAAATCCGCTGTCTTCATCTCCTTGTCCTCTTGAAGTTC